ATCTCCTAACTTCAAACATTTAGTTAAACGGCGAAACTGCTTCCCACAGCTGTCGGTTTGCTGTTAGCACGTGTCAACAGCAGTTTCGCTGTTTACTTTCAACCATTCTGGACTGGGGAGATAGAGCCCATTACATGCCGCAAACAGTTCAAATGGTCAACATCAGCCGTCAGCCGATTTGTACATGCAACGCAGCACCAATATACCATGTCCAATAGCTTACGCTAACCACCATTGCATCGTTGGTAGATGTTGACAACTGCCAGATGCAGGAAGAATTGTCATCCGCATATATTGCGGAAACAATACGCGCCCTCCTGCAGGAGACACTGGCCTTTCATGCTGACGAATCCTGTTCTGAAAAATTTATTCTGCAAGAGTTGACGTCAAAAACATAAAACCAGCCGATGGTCAATCATTTCCGCAATTCCTGATCATCATGTAAGGTCAAGGTCAAAATTACGCAAACGTTTCTAAGTCGGTGTGCACTAGTACTTCACTTCACTTCACTTTCATGAGACCGACCTTCTGTCCATGATCTGTAGGCAGTGCACCGGCGAGGTGCAGTAGCTGCTCGCTCCGAGTTGTTCGGTCCGAAAAAAATGCACTTTCTTTTGGCCCAGTGCTATAAACCAGATATCCGGCACACATTCGCTGGAGACGGACGTGCACCATAGCAGTGCGGTGCTTTCTGCCATCACAGATACAGCAATAGCTCTGAGCTAACACGCACGCTTCCCCTCCCCATTCCGTCAGTGCACGACAGACGGGTGCACAGTGCACATCGACGCCTCCCAATGGAACTCTCGCGCTACGCGATGTCTTGGTCCGCAAACGCATAGCTCCCGCTAAATCGCCCTGTGCTATTGCCCCTCCCGCGTTGCAGTCTCATTTCGTTGCGAACGATGCGCGGGCTACGCCCGGACCCTGTGATGGTGATCGGACGTGAGCCTGGTTACCAACGTTGGAGCCTGGTTGTCACTTCCCACTCATGAAAACGACTCACAAATCTTGGTTCTGACTGATTTGTTTATAGACATCAGTATCGGGGTCCTACATCGCATCGGCTGTTTAGAAAACACTGCACGTTGGTTTCTGGTTCTTATTGGTTATTTCTAGAACCTGCACGGCTTCCCATTGATTCCTTCACAGACATTAGACCATGATTCCTGGTATCCACTGGTTCGTTCACAAACATCTGACCCTGGTTCCTGGCTCCTACTGACTCCTTCACAGCGTCTAGGGCATGTATTATGGCTGCTGCGCTCTTTACCAGGAACCTTTTGGTTCCTGGAAAACAGCAAATCACGCTTTCTAGTCTCCATTGGTTGATTCGCGAAATATCACATCATGGCTCCTGCTTCTCATTGGCTCATTCGTAATCACTAGCGCAATTGACCATTTAGCAGCTTAACACCATTAAATATATGTCGTCTGAGATCAAAGCTATTCTTTATGTTCTGTACTATCTAATAATGGAAGGTAGATAGTTAAGTGGGCCGTGTGGATGCACATTTCCTCTTGATCAGCACTCCAGATCAAATTTCGCTTCCCGCTGATTCCTTTGTTGTATGAGGCCCTTAGTTCTTGCTGGATGTTCTGCATCACCCAAGTCTGGACGAGCACCTGGTTCCCAATGTTGGTACCTGGTTCCCACCTCCCCGTCATGGAAACGAGACTCGGATCATTGCCTGTTGGATCTCTGATCATATCCCAGAATGGATCTTTGTTCTTGCTGGACCCCTCTCAGCAACACCAGGCAGGGTCTTAGTTCTTGCTGCATCTCTGTGCTATGCCAAGCCGGGTGGTGTCAAGCTGGATTCTTGCTACCCCGTAGCAAAATTATGTGCCGGGTTCCAATTCTTGCTGGACCTCCCGCTCAGGTTCCAAGGGATTTCTACGTTCTTTCCGGCTTTGGAATCAGTAGCTAGCAACCGCTTCGCGGCAAAAAATCTGAGCAGTCAGACACACGACCGGTGGTGCTTCCGGGACTGCTAGTGGGCGACTCGATGACCTGAGACAGTTGTCTCGGCTGCCTACACTGCCTGACAGCGTTGCCATCTGTCTGTGTTAGCCCATTCTGTTCATCGAATCTCATCGTCGCTATCATCCGTTATTATCGTCCTACCGACGTGGCGGCGTATCGTGCGTGTGCTTTCTGTGAGTGTGAGTGTGAGTGTGAGTGTGAGTGTGAGTGTGAGTGGTACAGTGGTGTCGTGTGAGCGTGAGATATTCACCACCTCGCACGGGACACGTGCGTGTGATGGCATCAGCATCACAGCAAAGCGCGCTACGTGGCAGGATAGTTTGAAGTGGTCATTCTCCGGCAAAATCCTGACCACCGAGCGGCGTACAAGTTTCTGTCGGAAAAAATCCCCTGCGTTACATCAAGGTCATTCATGTTACACGGGAGGAGGCCACGGAGGCTCCCCTGCGTTACATTAAGGTCATTCATGTTACACGGGAGGAGGCCACGGAGGCAGCAAGCGGGCGAGGGGATAGAGAAGCGAGTGCTGGATTCGCGAGAACCTTCACAGAAAAGGATTTAGAGCAGTTCCATAGATCATTCCGTGTTAACCCAACAACCGTACTCATCCATGAACTGTACATATACCAGGGACGGGAGTCTCATCAAGGTAAACGAGGTCAAGTTTGCATCAAAGCGAAGCTAAAGAGTACCACAACAGTGATCAAAGTGACCGAGTTTGGTCATCGAGTTCGTTGAAACCAGACAGAGGAAAAAGCAGAAATCTTACAATTAAAAATGTGGATCCAGGTGTGTGGTTTTTTCACGCGCGATTGTACACTAACCATGGATTGCGTCACTTGCCGGACGTATTTAACGATTGATTTCAGATATCGAGAACTAAAGCAATGAGAGACTTTAAACTATAGCTATACGATGAAGGTGAACGTGCTGTCAACAAATCGCCGAGGGATCGTAATGCTGTCCGTTCCTAAGTCGCGGCAAAAAGAGGCCAGTAGGCCACTAATGTAATTTTGTAACTTGTCTTTCATCCTCTGTTTTAATCCGGATAGTTTTTGCAATTTTAAAGACATTTTTATCCGCAAAGAGCCTCAAACAGGCTGTGACATCAGGCCAAGCGGGCTGGACTATGAAAACTGCACAGGCCCGTAGCCCATTTTATTTTCTCCAATGTACAAGCGAAATGTAGCTTGCTTATTATCCTAAGCTCAGTCAGCAACATTTCAGCTTTTCCGAATTCATCCAAAACATATGCATAAAACTTAAGCTTGCTACTTTCTTATGGGACTACGTTGTAAGATATCTGACATTGCCATTCTATGTTGACTTTTTTAGGCAATTATGCATGCTGAAATATGCAAGTATGCTTCATGGTCCATCCTCGTTGGCATGTATGGATGCTTTTGGCCTGGGAAAGTTGGCAGTCTGACCAACAGGCACCGAACAATGCACCATTGTCCTAACGCTACATTACAGCATTTGCTGGTTGCATATTAGTCTTGATTCGCACGTAACGTTTGCGCGCTGCGTACGGCACTTAAATGAACACGACAATAATGGTTTTGTTGACACTCTTCCTTGTATGTATGTGCAGTGTTTCATTTTGCTCAGGCAAATTGCCTCACGCATATTGTTAAAACTACTAATTTATCACGGACGACGGTGTTTATGATAAGGCAATTCAAAATTACGTAACTTGTTCAGTGCATTAGCGAGGAACATTACTCACATAGATGAGACCGTAGTATTAGCCTTATTCCTCGGAGAAAAACCAGGAGAATGGAGATGCAGTTGGGTTGATATTTCAGTAGGATGCCTTCATCGAAACAATAGCTGAAGTACATAAATATACACACACACACATATATATATATATATATATATATATATATATATATATATACATATGCAATAGACTTCAGCTATTGTTTCGATAAAGGCATGTTGCCGCAATACCAATCCAACTATTTCTCCATTCTCCTGGTTTTTCTCCGAGGAATAAGGCTAATGCTATTGTTTTATCTAGAAGGCAATTCAAATAAAACTGGCCAAAATCGGGCAGAGCAAATCTAGGTAATTCTAACTGGCGGTGGCGAGTGCAATCATACCGCCTATTACAATTGCGCAACCTGCAGTTCTGGACGTATTCAGCGGTCGGATGGCCGTCACAGCCGAGTGGTTTCAGGTCGGTACTGTCGAAGGCCTTGACTTATACGTACTGATGGCCCCACCCCCTTCCCTCCATTCGATTACCACGCCTGTATATTCAGTGACCGCGGTTTTACCTTTGTGCAGAACTCATGATTACGATGATTCTGCAAAACAAGAATGACATTCGATGTGAATGGTTGTAATGCACTTACTTTCATAAACCTGTTGTGGCATGTTTCAAAAATGTTGTTCAATAAGCTTGACATTACTGGGCAGCACCCGGCAAAGCACGCGGAGACCGCATAGGGCTCTTGGCATTACAGTCTGCAGGACTCGTTCCTGTGCGCTGCGCGCATCCCCCAGGGCCTCCCGTTTGTCGACAGCTGTCTCTGAGACCAGGAGTTGCACCTTCCGCGAGCGGCACCGGACGCCGGCTGGATATTGCTACAGTGTGTGTTAAGTGCATATGCAGTTCGTATGAATAGTAAGTGCATGAATCAAGTGTATATTGATGACACTACATTATTTTGTTGCATTGTCATTGTAAGGCTGTAAGAGACGAGAAACAGGCGCAGACAAATTTCGATAGTTGAAACAGGGCTTTCCGAAGCAGAGCCTTTGCTGCTTTTAAGTTAGTGGAGCAGCAAATGCAATATATATATATATATATATATATATATATATATATATCAGAGCTCAAAACCCGTCATCCGAAATCCGTGCACTTGAGAACAATAAAATCATCGTTTACTGGCGCTGAAGTTAATTACTCGTCGGTTAAATATATCTGACATCCATGGCTCATCCGCATATCATCCAAAGCACTGTGCATTTGTAGACAAAAAGGACAAATCACTGCTGTATTATGCTCACGTACCATAACAGAAAACATGGATTGGCAATCACCGCTCGGCAGCCATTGACCGCTATTGTCAGCCGCTATCCGTCAGCGGCGCGCCCACGCCGCTTTCGTAATGATCGGCGCCCTCCGGCTGAGGCCGCGCGACGGTGTGCTGCTCGACGGGCCGGCGTCGGGGAGGATTCTGGAGGTCAGCTGACAGCAGGCTGTCTCCGTAAATCCCATGACGGATGGACACCTTGGCTGCCGCGGATCTGACGCCCGGGCTCGTCCCTGACACACCAGTCTAATAAATTAGATACAAAAACTTACGGCATATGAATGAGTTTGAGCGGCGAGCGACGATGCTCTTGGCAGCGACATCTTGACGCGGCCTTGTTTAGCCATGACGCGGCATTGTTCAGCCATGCACACATGCCCAGACAAGGTGCCGCTTGTTCTCTTTCACACTGCAAAGCAGACCAACTGGCACTCCCGTTCGCGATCGCAGCGCCACAGTGCGGTGGACGCGGGACCTCTGTTTCGTGCTTCTCTCGGTAGACAACACTGCAGCCGTCTCACTGCGATCCGTCCGCCTGGATGTAGCTGATCTTGGTGCGGTAGATGCCCCTCGAGTCGATGACGTATTGCACGATCTGCAAAAGGGTTTGCTAGAGTCCTACGCAGCATGCGATGTTTGGTATTGCAGTGATATTCTAGGTTAAAAGTGTAAAAAGGAAGCGAGACTCAGCAAGCCTGTAGCTTTTATATTACGATCACACGGATCGTGAGCGAATAAAATCCATGCTCACCCTCCTTTTTCCTTTCTTCGCCGAGCTTCACTTCATCTGCATCCGCGCGCCTCCCCTTTGTTTGGGTCAAGCCGCATGCGACAGCCATGAGGGGCACATATGCCTGTGGCGGGGGCCCTGACCGAGCGCCGAGCGCATACAGAATATAGGGGTCTCTGCGTGGGGTCCGTCCCAACGGAGGAGCCCCACATGTGCGTAGTTCAGTCCCTCTATTGCTCATGTTCCTCCACCCCACAGCCCTGAAATGGTCACCACTGGCCGAAAGGAATCTAGTTCAAACCAAATCAAACCAATACAAAGGCTGACTGTATGTCTAAAACGGAGACCCTTGCACCTTTTTACGCTTTTTTTCGCTCTGGAAGAGTGCTCAAAGATCTGAAAAAGTGCCGTTCATAGGATCGCAAACCTCTGATTTGAACAGCTGCGGCACCAGAAGACGACTCAAATTTCTAAGAGCGAGCGCTCAGCACCTGCCCCTCACCTGTGCCCCACACATTGACCTGGTACCGACCGTGCGCTCAGCACCTGTGCCGCACCTGTGCCCCACACACTGACCTGGTACCGACCGTCGGGCAACTTGACCCGGTATGCGCCTCCCTTGTTGCTCTCGTTTACGGCGTAGTCGTTGCCGGAGGCGTCGTCTTTGACGGCGTACGCGAACTCGAAGTCCTCGATCGGTGGGAACGTGACGTGCTCCTCAGGCCGGTAGCTGCCATCATCCCCGACTGGCCGGTACTGTCCACTGGTGGTGGAGGGACCAGGTCACTTCGGCACGATCCGCCGGTACGTGGCAATCACTTGGCTCCATATAATTATATCGTATAACTCTACCGAGTTTTAATGACTGGGTATTGACGGGACGTTCAACAACGAATTCTTCAGCGTCGACACCTCTTGTGCCGATTGCCCACGGTGATGACGTCACTTTTGGCCGGAAATCAGTGTCGAACCCCACAAATGTTCACCACGGTCCCAAGGCGAATACTGTGGCAGCTAAGAGACGCCATTCTCTCGGTGTCTACGAAAAGTGGTGGATTAATTCGAGGATTACTGGCCTATGAACAGACGATCTACCCAAAGAGGGGCGGTGGCAGTGTTACTGCTAAATGGGATTCTTAAACGCTGCACTGAGACCTTAAATGAAATCCTGCGCATTGTATGCATTCCTAATTCAAAATCAGTGTTTGAGACCCAAGCATGACAGCCGATGTAAGGAGTTGTGACGCGAGCGAACATTCTCTTTCTGACCATAGCGCAAGTGAGAAGAAGTCTTTCAGTGTTGTTTACTCATTTCCCTGCTTGGTGCTTACGTCACGAGCTATATTATTTTAAAAACCGCATGACATGCGCAGAGCCTGGTGCTTTCACTCGTCCAGAAAAACGTTTGAACCTAAGCTCTCAAAAGCTGTGATAGCCCGTGCAATAAGCAGGCCATCAGTGAACCGCCAATGGTCACGCAGGACTCCGGCTTTCAGTCGAGCGCGCCCACGTCTCCTCAGCGACCTTACCTGTTGCCGGCGCCCTGGTCTGTCGCACTGTACTGGCCAGTGTTGTACGCTCCCGGCCGGTACTGCCCGTCGTCGTACTGTCCGGCCGGCTGGTACTGGCCGTCGTCGAACTGTCCGGTTTGGTCGGTCTGGCTGCCGCTGGACATGTCGGACTGCCCGCTGTCCGGGGAGCCTTCGGTGAAGAGGCCCTGCACTCCGTCCTGACCGCCTACAGACAGGCCGAACAGGCCGCCCTGCTCACTGTCTAGCCCTTCAGGCAGACCGGGCAGGCCACCCTGCCCACTGTCCAGCCCCTGTCCAGCGTTACTGACCACCTGAGAAAGAGGGCGCCGATGATGCCGATGTTACGCCTACGGGCGGCTCAGGTGTAGTGGCAATGTTGTACCCGAGGAAGGCCTCATCGCATAAACACAGAGAGTACACAGCCATTTGAGTCTCGTAGAAAATGACGACAGCAGAATGTAGCCGGCTCCTGCGAAACTCAAGGTGTACCCTGAACTCACGTAGTTGCTGCCTGATTACGATAGAGAAATATACGACTAGAATGAGACACGTACGCGTGGTAGGTGTTTGCTGATACCACTGACGTGAAGCTTTACGTGTTGTCTCATGATATCGTGTTGGAATCTATGTACCATGTGCCACTTTGTGCCTGGCATGTGACACATTATGCAGCACTATGTATTGATTGTTCGTCCACACATCGTCTTGGCTGATGAATTTTCGCTGGTAAGTGAAACTTAGGAATACCACCTAAACTTGACTTACCCTGTTATGTTTCGTAACAGCGGTGCTGACATGCGTGACCATTTAGGTACCTACTTACCCTCCGTTACTTGTACGCAATATCGTCATTTAGACGGACGTGACGCTGCAAATTATCATTTAGCTCATATTTTGAATGTGACTAAAAATCGCGCGACAATTGGAAGGTCGAGTGCTGAGGGTAGGAGCGCCAGACGGCATGCTATGTACCAAAAGGTGGAAGGCTAGAAGGGAGGAGTGCTGATGTTGCATGACTGGTGTCACTAACTCTGAATTAATCCTTTCACTGTGATTCAAATCAGACACAATCGTGAGGGGCGCAAGCCATTCAGCGTGTGTGGCGTGTCGTGATTAAACCAAGCACCTGCGAGGTGGCACAACGTAGCAAGTAGCAGCAGCATCGGTTCCGGCGGGTGGTATGAATATTGTACTTGTCGTCCGCGAAATAGCCTCACCATCAGGGATATTCTAATGCACACCGACATTGCCATGCCGATTGAATTGTGAGCAATTGCAGATGATCTCACTGGCCGTGCTGATCACAAGGTCCATGGATGGACGCAAAAAACCTCGGTGGTCGGCGCGCTCTTACACTGGATTATCGTCCACCATCGCCGTCTCGCCCGTCAACTCTGCATCAGGCCCATGCATGATCAGCCTCTCAAAGTTTGTGCATATGGGGCATGCTAAGCTGTCCTTCAGATCCGGATAAAACTGTTCGAGAACCACGCGGACCAGCTGACGTCCCTGATCTGATCGCCAGGCACATACATTACCGACAGATTCGGTGATCGCCGCACTCGCTGCAGACGGTCCTGAATGCATGAGGTCCTGCTGCTGCATGACATGTGGCGTTACTCCTGCTATTGGCGACCACGCGACTTTCCAGATCGTGACACGAAGCCGACCTTGGACGGCTGGGCCTCTGCGACCATTGCACACATTCATCACGTTCCGCGGACGTAATCTGACATCAAGCGACCTGTCCGTCTGTTCGGTGCGCAATCTGCCACGCGACCGGCGGATTGCGTGTTGCGATGGCAACGATGCTGCAACCGTTGTCATGGTGATCACGCTGCTCGGAGGTCGGACGGGCTGCAGCACGCTCGCCAGTACGGGGGTCTTTGGAGGGCAGTGTGCACATGGCATCAGTAGTCTGAAGTCTTCATATGTGCCTATTGATTTGCCACTTTCCATCGGTGGTGTAAAATCCTGAGGGACTCGCTGTGACTTCAAAGTGACCTCAACCCCGTTCTTCAGTGTTGAGCTGTCTGTGAATGAAGCGAAGTGTCCTGCCAGTACTGAACTGTCACTAAACTCACGGCATCAAATGTAACCCAATCGGCACCCATTCTCTGCGTGCAGGAAAGGCAGCATATCATGTTAGCTACTTTCCAATCTAGTTATCAGACCCATTAGTATAGGCTGCAAAAGGTGACTCGCTTCTATAGCTTAAGCTTTGACACCATCTTTATGAAAGCAGTTCACAAATCTCACTAACGTTATTGCCTCCCACGCAACACAATATACATTGTCGACCATTTTAGAAGCAGAACGCGGGTGCCTTGACGATACCAGCTACAATACTTTCAGACAACCCCATAGATATCTTGCGCGGGGTAAAGTGCTTGTCAATCGACCGTGATGAAAACCGGGAGGTAAGCCATCTCGTCGTGCTCACCGGAAAGACCGGCTCCCGCCTAGCGTGCAGTTCAGCTGCTATATTCCGGTCCCTGCTCCGGCGGCGATTTGTTGTTCGGCGGACTGCGGCACCTCAGAGTTGCCCGACTGAACGCGGCCGTGCGAAACCCTCCGCCCCGCCACGCTTAGCGGTGGTCACTGCGATGTAAGCCTCACGGCTCATCCCCGCCTGTCGGCTGTGACGTCTTCCTCCTCTGTGTAGGTCCTAATTGTGGTGCAGCGCAAGAGCTGCTGTTGCACATGCGTTGTAATCCTTTTTGACATGCAACCTATCCGAGCTCAGAGACGCCGTATGCCCATTTCCCGCTTGGAACCGGAACACCAAATTAATGATGCTTTTGCTGGCGCGTTCAAGCAACAACGGGGATGCGCACAGTTTGTGCGTGAATTAAATGCGGCCACCTTTAAACACTTGATCAGGTCTTGTGAAAGATGGTGGCGAAGAAAATTGTTCAGCTTTTTTGCGAGGTACGGTCAAAACATAGACACCACGCTTCGATTTGAGTAGCATTGAACGTCTAATACGCTTCAAACTTTAGGCTATTCCTTACGTTGATCTGCTTATGTATCGTATATCTGCTTCCCTTGTAGATTAAGGCTCAGATATGTTTTGTTTTGACATGATGGGGGTCCCAGTTATTAACCTCATGACGCTGCGAAGTCGGGTCATCGAAATCTGAATCCAACTAGCTGTCCTTCAGCTTCTTCGCGATTCTAAAATTTTACGTTGCCATGTGTATCAAATGGAGAAGGTGAAATAATGGTGATATTACAGGGTTGCAGGAAAGCATTGTCTTATGAAACATTTAGCCTGGAAGCACCCAATAATTTGCAGGGCGTAGATTATGAAGCATTGCGCTTCTTATTGTTTCGTCGTGTTCGCTTGCCGGGCCGGGCCGGGCCACCCGTGCTCGAGATAATCTTAGTCCAGGCAAGACTCACTGGACCTGAGGCTCAGCTCATAATAAGTGACTGCCGCCACAACAATCACGCAAATATAACAATAGGCCTGCTCGAAGCAAGCCGTTCACGGCTTTTGATGTGTAATTCACGACCATGGCATTTCCATGTAAACACTCACAAATTCAGCGATGTCTTCGATGTCTTCCCCTGAGCCGGTACCGCCTGGAGACTCGATCTCAGCGCTGGGTGGCAAGTACTCGGAGCTGGGCGGTGTTGGGGGAGGAAGGTAAGTCTCGGGAGGGGGGAGGTACACCTCGGGAGGGGGGAGGTACTTTTGAGACAGACCCTGCGGCGCTGCTGCTGCCACAGAAGCCAGAACGGCTGACACCATAATCTGAAGGAAGAGGACACTAGCTGAACGCACAGGTGGGCGGTGAAAAGCAAAACTTTACTTATACGTTAAAACGGCTGCATGAGCATAAGCGGCAACGAACTAGCATGAGGAACTTAAGCTAGCAAACAATGTGGTTGTAAAAAGCACTTTATGTACCTAAGATATCACGCACACAATGTTGATAAACAAAACCAAAAGAAGATACAAAAAATGCAAATGAGGGTAAACGGGAAACGACGCACTTTTTATGTACGCACTTGTATAAGACACCAAATGCATATGAGGCTTTATTTTAGTAGCAAGCAAGTACATTTATCTGTGCAATACCGCACTCCGATATGCAATGCATGCAACCACAATTTGCACGGCCATTACCCATTTCAAAGAAAATGTTCCTCACTGAGACATTCAACTCAGTTTCATCGCAACTTCGCGTTTTCAACATACCACCATGTAAATGTGGCAACATAGTTTAACGACAAAATACAACAGGTAGCAGGTACCTCATCAAACGTCTTAGGCACATCTCATTGCTGTTCTTTGCGGAATTACAGGACGATTGACGTAACACAGCTGTTAGGACAACCAAGATTCTAAGAACCACAAACTTGTACCAAACGCCATCCAACTGGCTGAAATTGTTAATGGCTTGAATAAACCACTCCATGCATGACTGTATTCAGCACAAAAAATACAAGGCGCAATGTCACATGCATGCATCGTTTTTTTTTTGGCAATTTGTTAACACTTTTGCAGTAATAAGACTGAGTATGCTTCGAACAAATGTCGGATGCAATTCCAACTGAACTTAACTTTAAAAAAGCACTCTGCCGAAATCAAGTATACAAAAAATTGAGATGGGAGCAACAGTCAACCCGGATGTGAACTGTTCCTATAAAATGTATGTCTAGTAATTTTCACAGAGGCTTGGCGCGTCAAAGGTTCCCAAACGCAAACAAAATTTGAAAAAACACATGACAACAGTTATCGCTGTGAGACAACATTAATAATGCTTTCTAGCTACGAATGCCGCCATAATTTAGGGATTTCTTCCTGGAAAGACCTCCCAGTGTAGGCTTGCTAGGCATGATAATTATACTAGTCAGGATTCGCATGCGTTATTTTTCCCATTCAGTGCCGAACTGCGTCACACCACACTTACTAATGGTGGTCAATGTGTTCGACGTACCATTTTAAGACATGCATACACGGTTCAAAAGGGCTGCCAAAGATGTTTGCAAAAACTTGCGCTTCGTCACGGACAAATTCACAATACTCACGTCAAATTCAAGCATTTTTTAAGTCACAAAATATTTAATTCTTCCATCTCCATGGCAGCAATGATAAAACTTTACGGCAATGTGTAAAACCGCTGCTTATTTCACGTATAGCGTCACAAATGATCGCACGCGCGGTCGTGCAGCGCTCCCCTACCTGGAGTGCAGCCATCTGCAATGGTACCGGTCCGGGCGTGAAATGCAAACAGCCCCTTCCATGGCGGACGTTTTATAGGTGAGGTGCGCCATGGGTCGTGTAGTCTGCCGAAGAACAGGTTCCCCCTCCCCGAGAGCATGCCGCGGCCGCTCAGCCCCGCAGTTTGACCTCCACGCGCGGCGCCTATGGATCCCGTCCGAGTCCGGCCAGATCGCCGGTAAATAAGGCGCCATTATGCCGGCCGTCATTTTTATGGAATGTGTCCTGAATATAGACCGTCAGCCTACTGTTTGGTATAATGGTTTCACATCATTTGTTTGCAGGCAGCCATGAATGTTAGGAATGTCTGGCTTTAAGCCTGTTTTTAAGCGTTTGGGCCAGATCAACTCACAACTGGTACGCTCTTGTTGGATTTAAGTGGAATATGATGTATCGTGAGTCGGCCCTTACTGTAGCCGGATAACCGTGGTTTGCCTCTGTCCAGCCATTTATATATATATATATATATATATATATATATATATATATATATATATATATATGGGTATGCATTGTTAATATCCATGAATCTTGTCGACAATAGATCATCTACGAATGCGGCAAATGCTGTGCTGAAACATTCGTATTAATTTTATATCCGACATAGCCGGTAATAAAACCGCAGCGCACAAACGGTTGTGCAATGAGCAATGAAACGAGCGCGAATAGCCATGCAAACCAAGTGGAATTGCGGCTTGGCCTGAAATGCGCCGATTGTTCTCTGTATGTGCCACATAAAAACGCTAAATTATTAAATAGCAGAGCTATTCGAATTTGACAACTTTCATCGAGATGTTATAAAATCCGCTTTTGAGCTCATTCAAACTTTTCGAGTCAAGTCAGATTTCTTCAGAGGAAGTGATCTGACTCAAAAAGCAGTGGCGGCAGACAAGCTGTATGGCTGTTTGCCTTAATACTTCGCGTTGTATTTCCGATAATGTTCTCTCCGGGGATTTGCTTCTTCATGTTTGTGCATGCATGGAGGCTAAAATAAATGTCCCAGAATTAAAACCTGCCAATTTATTTCTACTAAAATTAACCGTTACATCCTGGTAACGTTGTACTTCGGAACTGTTTGGCTTATCATAATTATTCTCCCACAAAAAAGGAAAACGCTTCAATGACGATGTGTGAAGCATTCAATTTGCGCGCACTTCTCCACACACACATCCATCCACAACATTGTGTTCTGTGTTGCCAAGCTGGTACCGAAATGATGTACAAAGCTATTCATAAAACACTGCCGTTCCCACTCTGTGTCACTCGGTTTGACAGTACAAGTGCCCTGTCATGACACGAATGTTAAGGTTCAAAGACAGCAAGCGGACGCCTCTGGCACCTACATTTGGGCTCTGGCGAGCACCGGCAGCAGCCGCTGAGGCGTCTCCAGGCCTCGCATGGCAGCTGGGCTCTGGCGAGCACTGGCAGCAGCCGCTGAAGCGTCTCCAGGCCTCGCATGGCAACACATCGTCCCCTGAAGACATTGCTCCTCGGCGACCAATGGCGAGCCGCCAGTCAGTAACATTACATTGCTCCTCGGCAACCAATGGCGAGCCGCCAGTCAGTAACATTAAATTCGTGACTCAACGCATGAGGTGACTTCCGGGCATGGAAAGCACAGGCCAGCCGGGCGGTCGTCAACCCGAGACGATCTGGGGCAGGTCCAAGCCGGCTTCACCTTCCTATCTGGGACGTCAGTTACTGAAAGGCGACAACTGATTGCATGCAGAGTCGTGTGGTAGCTATGCGACCGCATGATTTTACGACAATTGAGTGGGAATTACACGATGACGAAACAAGCGACGCCCCCCGCAAAAATACCTGCTGTCAAACTGTACACGATGTCCATTGGTGTGATCCAGAGCCAACGATTCCGGTAATTATGTCGTCTTTGGCGCATTTGGCCTCACTTGACACTAGATGCCCTGAACTGATGACACTTTGGATCAAGAAGCAGTGGGGTTGGATATATCAAACATGTATGGGAAAGTCTCCGATATACAGGAAAGCCAGGAAAGCATCAATCCTGCGACGAACGTACATCTTGGACGGCTTGAATGCGAAGTGCGATCGACATGACCCTCACTTGACTTTCACTTGCAAGCTGTAGCAGAGGGCCAGCAAAGTTATGCAGGCGTGAATGATAGCCACGTCAATGTCAGACTCCCCAGCCGGCGAGCTGTTTTACCGCGCCTTTCGAGTAGCCAAAAAATGAACAAGGTAACAGCTTGATTTGAGCACATGCTCGCAAGACCTGCGATGGGAACAGTTGGAAGGCGCCCTGTGTTAAATTGGAAGGCATTATTTCGGGCTCCTGCTGTCTACGCAACAGGACGACAAAGTTAGTATATTGATAACTTCTGCCATGCATGCGTGTTTCGCACTTTGTGAATAGTGATCGATGCCGCTGTATTATTACTGGCTTTATTCAAACAATGACTTTATGAGTTATTATCAGCACGTGAGCGCGTCGCTCTCGGGCTTCATATAGTGACAAACATGTTAGATAAGGTTTCATACACTTGTAAAAGTTAAATACACAAAACTATATTTTAGCTGTTTACCCCATTTCGCCTGCTCCCACACTTGCAGTTTCCAACAAATTAGATTACCATGCCATATCATGCGATTTGTTGGGGCAAATCCACGCAGCAGTGGATCGCATGCGACTCATTGGGGCAAATCAGCCAACAGTGTCTTTCTGTGGCTTATCGTCACATGATAACAGACACACGCATACGAGACAAACACATATAACCAACGCAGCTAATTAAAAACGCAATTATCACCGGCAAAATAGGAGTGGATTTTCAATGCATCTCAGGCACTTGGGACATGGAACAGTCGTTTCAGAGAGCGATGAAGACATACGCCATGCATCGTGTGCTGCTCGTCTGGCAGTGTACCTTAAGAGCGCCAACCTTAAGCGGGATATCGTTGTGCATTCCAGAATCTGTACTAAACGTGGCCATCAAGACAATTGTGCTTCCATACGCGCCAGCGGCGCTCGGCAGGCGTTGTTTGCTACCAAGGCGCCGCGGGCTCGGGTGCGTGTCAGGCCGAGCGGAGCTGTTGCCGCTGTCCTCTCGACAGCCCGATCAAGCAACTCGAGACACGGGGGATTCACTCATGACCCCAAATCAAAGCCAAGAGCGAAACAGAAACGTCTCCGTTTCGGCGAACATGTCTCTGCGCGGTCTTTGCCGAATTAGCATTTGCAATGTTCGCTGGATTGCTGAGGAAAATGGACGGCTGACGTCTGGACAATGGAGTTTCGGACCGCAAAGCTGTTTGGTCGGCTGACGAGCAATATATCTATCAAATCAAAGTGAAATGCCTTTGCTGACCGCTTTTATTCCGGTGGTATTCAAATATTAGCCTTGGAAAACCGAAAGCTCCCGAGAGCCAGGTGGGGGCGTGCGCGCCAATGCCGATGCCATGTGTCTGGCTGCTTTTTGGGCAATATAGGTAGGGATTCACCCAATAATGCCAGACGAGATAAGACATTTTGCATGCTTCATCGGAGGACTGTTTGGCATTCGACTCAGGTGCATTTTGTGCGCACTTGAATCCAGTTGTATTATGTTTTTTGGCAAACGAAGACGACTTTGTATTTAACGTAGACAGGTTCCGTGGTGAACAAATAAAAGCCGGGTTAATGACAAAAGTGAAACATGTTGCTGAGTTGGCATGTAATCATGCCAACTCGTTCAAAATCAATAGAATTTCGTACAACTTGTACAGAATAAAGCAGGATGTATAGATATGTCTCCATCAAGGATGTCTACCGAGTGGTGAACCAAGAACTTGGCTCATTGGTGAGAACTCCTCGTCCGCCTCGGCAGTAACAGTCGGCAGACCTCAACATCACCTCAGCAGTCGCTCGGTGAGGCGGGCGGGCCACTCTCGTCTATATTGCTATTTGAACATAGCGCAGCTGTCTGTCTGCCGTCTGTTATCTTTTGAGTCGCGTGCCGGTCACGCGACTAGTGGTTCAAATGTGAAATTTTGATATGGCTCAAGGACCACGTGCCATGCACACGTGAGCAGTCTTTGTAGATTCGTCCCTTTTCGAAAATTCTTCGCGCTTTATACGTCATCTCGACAGCCAGGTCTGTTGGAGGCGTGAATTCAACTTCAAAACGTCGACACGCGTACCGTCTACAACGAATGTAGTCAGCACTGGTTTATGCCGCCCACGGTCATGCCAGCAATGGTCGGGAAGCCGGCTATGTCGGCTTTTCGAAAGACGAAGCCAAATGCAATGCGCTGTCAGCAGCGAAATTTTCACCACCGCACGCACAGACTCATCAGCGTGTTTACCAGCAATGCACGAATATCCCTAAGCACTATCTCGTTCAAATATCAACTTTGGCTTTTGTCCTACAATATCGCTCTTCGCAACGCCGAAGTGCCTCTAATCCAAGGTCCTATAACAACTATGTTTAACCCAAGAACTAGGCCTATAACAAGGCCCTAAAACTTAAAGCGGTCTTGGATGATTTCGGTCATCATGACCTTCAAAAAGCCAGACGAGGTCAATGAACTAAGATGAACACGTGGCCTTTCGCTTGGAACAGGTACCCAGGTTCCACTTGCCCTTTGGAGATTAATCTTAAGTTTGATGTTGTTTGACCCTATTTAATCCAAGGTCATAACCTAGAAACCTCGAACTTTGACTTAAATGAGATCGCGTACCAGTCAATACACTGAATTTGATGTCTTTAGCTCTCTTAGTTCCTGAGATCTCAGGAGGATCAAATTGACCCCCGAGAGAAGAGTATCCAACCAGCCACCCAGGCACGTGTTAACATTGAATGTAACTGTTGCCGCCTTCTCAGTGGTCGCGCACTGAAACATTTCCCTTCCACTGAGCTGACCGCTCGTTTATACGAATCGCCGGTTTGAAGTAACGCGCATCTGGATAAGAATCAATACCAGTTAGAAACGTTCTGTGACAGTAGGGGTGATAATCATCTCTTACGTTCGTAAAAGCCGCCCTTATTGGATGTAAAGCATGGTATGGGAA